CAGACTGTCCTTGTTTTTGATGACCTTGGTGGTTTTGAGGAGTACTGGTCAGATATTTTGTAGGATGCCCCTCTGTCGGAATTTGTGTGCGATTTTTCTCATGACTGGGGTTATGGGTTTCGGGGAGGAAGAGCTCAGAGGTAAAGTGCCGTTTTCATCACATCATAAAAAATCAACATCATTTTTGACTGTTGATATTGACCTTCATCAGCTGGCGGAGGTAGTGTTTGTCAGTTTCTCTGCTGTAAAGTTACCTCCCCTTTCCATCTGTCTTCCTTGGAAGAAAGTTACTAAGCACAGCCCACGCTTACAGAGTAGAGAGTTATGCCTTTGACACAGGAAGGGCTCCATAAATGTCAACCTCTGTCTTAGTCATCTAGTGCTGCTATAATATAAATACCATAAGCAAATGGCTTGAACAAAGAAAAGTTTATTCTCTCATGGTCTAGTAGGCTAGAAGTCCAAACTCAGGGCATCAGCTCCAGGGGAAGGTTTCTTTTCTCTGTTGGCTGTGGAGGAAGATCCTTGTCATCAATCTTCCCCAGTCAAGGAGCTTCTCAGCACAGGGACCCCAGGTCCAAAGGACACGCTATGCTCCCAGTGCTCCTTTCTTGGTGATATGAGGTTCCCCCATCTCTCTGCTTGCTTCCCTCTTTTATATCTCAAAAAAGATTGACTTAAGAGAAAACCTAATCTTGTAGATTGAGTCCTGCCTCATTAACATAACTGCCTCTAATACTGCCTCATTAACATCATAGAGGTAGGTTTACAATGCATAGGAAAATCATATCAGATGACAAAATGGTGTACAATCACATAATGCTGGGAATCATGGCTTAACCAAGTTGACACACATTTTCGGGGGACACAACTCAATCCATAACAATGGCTATTACAAGTGTGGGTTTTCTGATAGTTTTTATTATCATTGTTTTTATCATTGGTGAGGATTAAGTGTTTGACACCAATAAAGGCGGATTAAGGAGATAAGATGTATAACTGGTTTAGGGCTGTTGAGAAATTATTTTAGGCTAGGTTCTCTAGAGGAGCAAAACCAGTGAGATTGCTGCTGGCTGACTTCCCAGGAACTGGAGGTCAGATGATTATGAGTCGGATGCAGAATCCAGAGTGAGAGTGAGCCTTGCTGGAGCATCCATTTATATACTGGAGGCAGGCCACACCCCCAAGGAAACTCCCCTTGCAACTGATCGGCTGCTCATAGCAGATCTCATCATGAAAGTGATCACGTTATATCAGATCTCATCATGGAGGTGATCACATTATAGCAAGTCTCATCATGAAGGTGATTACATTATTTTACATCATGGAAGAACAATCAGTCCAGTGTCTGCCAAATCACTGAGAATCAAAGCCTAGCCAAGTTGACCCATAACATTTACCATCTCAGGGATTGACAGAGATAAAATAAGTTGCTGGCACAGGGCCTGGCACCTTATAAGTGCTCAATAAATATCAGAGAAAAAAAAACCTGACCTCTTTATCCGGAGGAAATGAGGTCATATGTCCACACACAGGCTTGTTGTGGAAATGTTCACAGCAGTCTGATTCCTCGAAGCTCCAACTGGAAACAACCCAATGTCACAACAGCTGTATAGATGAACACACAGGCTTGTTACACAAATGTTCACAGCAGTTTGATTCCTAGAAACCCCAACTGAGAACAACCGAACATCCAACAACAGCCAAATGGATGAACACACTGAGTGGTATATTCGGGCAGTGGAATACTACTGGGCAGTAAAAAGGAGTGAACTATTGATCCACACAGCTGCGTGGATGACTCCAGAAGCATGCTGAGAGAAAGAAGCCAGACCCAGGGGAGCACAGACTGTATGAAGTTCTAGAACAGGCAGAACCGGTCTACAATGACAGAAAGAGGATCAGTGGTTGCCTGGAGCAGGGTAGGGACGAAGATTGGGAGGCACGAGGGAGCTTGCTGGGGGCTGGAAATGTTCTATATCAGAAGTTGGCAAACTAGGGAGCCATTAGGTCATTAGGACCAAAAATGCGATCATCTGGCCTTTTAAAGAAAAAGTTTGCTGTCCCCTCTGTTCTGTATACATATAGAATCTGTATCTTGACTTTAGGAGTGGTCAGACAAGTGTGTCCATCTATGAAAAGGGATGGAGCTGCACATTTAGACCTGAGCCCTCGACAGTACAAAAGTTATGCTTAGTCACAATATAAAGTGATTTGAGGGTAGGAGAGGTGAAGGGGCTTGTCCAAGCCTCACAGGGAACCCAGCACTCTGGGAAGAAGGATCCTGGACTCTTGTCCCCAAGAGGTCACACCCCTTGGGGGTCCAGTCACTTCTCATCTCTTATAAAGGCAGCATGTAGAGGCGTCAGGACTGGGCCTTGGGAGACACTGCAACTGACCCCTCACCACGCAAGTGAAGATGCTGAGGCCCAGGGTCACCCAGTAAGACAGTGGTGAGAGATGAGGCCCCCTGACTCTTGACCTGGCTCCGCCTTAGCTCCTGCCACACGAAGGTCTCTCGTTCCTCTTGGTGGACAGTGGCAGTGTGTGTACAGCATCACAGAGTATGCAGTTAAAAAAAACTCACGGCTACCCTAAGTGGGCAGACTAGAACTGCTCCGTGGGATTTTCAAGGTTGTCACCTTTCGGAAGCAGATCACCAGGCCTTTCTTCCAGGGCACCTGTGGGTGGACTCAAACCACCAACCTTTTGGTTAGTGGTCAAGTGCTTAACTGTTTGTGCCACCCAGGGACACTTGTAATATGCAGTAGGAGCACTGCTAATGCTCACTTGGACCTACCGAGGTACAGCTTAGGGGCATAAAAGAGTGCTGGTTTTGGAGGCAGGTAAACACGTCTCTGGTGGTGCAGTGGTTAAGCATTCTGCTGCTAACTAAGAGGTCGGTGGTTCGAACCCATCAGCCGCTCCTTGGGATAAAGATGTGGCAGTCTGTTTCCGTAAATATTACATCCTTGGAAACCCTATAGGGCAGTTCTACTCTGTTCTGTAGGGTGGCTATGAGTCGGAATCGACTCAACAATGGATGTTTGGTTTGGTTTATACACATCTGTCTCTTCCCATCCCAGCATTGCCACTTCCAGGCTGTGTGACAGGGGAACAGTTGTTTGACTTCTCTGAGCCTCTTTCTTTTTCCAAGAAGTGAGGATTGTAAATGAGACCATTTCAGGGAGTGGCAGGTGCCGTGAAGGAAATAAAGCAGGAGGAGGTGACAGAGACCTGGAGAGCCGGGTGACTTTTTGCCCTGAGCTCAAAGGCTGAGGAGGAGCAGCCGCAGAGGCGCTTCAGGGAGGGGGTATGGGCAGAGGGAACAGCAAGCGCAAAGGCTCATGGACAGCGAGCGCAGTGTCTGATGTGTCTTTATCTCTAGAGTTTGGCACAAAGTAGGTCCTCATGGAATGTTGACTGATTGATTACATGAATGAATAATAACAGCAGCAGCAGCAACAAAAATATGTATTGAGAGCTTAGTAAGTGCCAAGCATTTTACTTAGGGTTCTAATTTGATTAATTCAACAGACATTTCCTGAGTCCCTACTATGTGCCAGGCCTGTTGCTGTCAAGTGGATTCCGACTCATAGTGACCCTAAGGACAGAGTAGAACTGCCCCATAGGGTTTCCAAGGAGCGGCTGGTGGATTTGAACTGCCGACCTTTTGATTAGCAGCTGAGCTTTTAACCACCGCGCCGGGAATACAGCCATAAGCAAAGCGGACTAAACTCCCTGGCCTTGTGGAGCTGATATTCTTGTCAGGGGAGATAATAAATCAAACAGAGAAGTTAAAGGTGATAAGTGCTTGGAGAAAAATGGAGCAGGACAGGAGATCAAAAGTGCTGGAAGATGAAGGGGAAGGTGCCATTTTAGATCAGGTGTCTATCCAGGGAGGGCATTTGAGCAATGAAGGAAGTGAGGAGTGAGCTTACGTATACATCTGGGGAAAGAGTGTTCCAGGCAGAGGGAACAGCAGATGCAAAGTCTCAGAGGCAGCAGGGAAGGTAGTAAACCGATACGGATGGGATGCAGTGAGTAGGGGGAGGGCGGTGGGAGGGGGCTCCAGGTCACTGCCCGCTCAGTCTCAGTTTCCCCATGTGTACAATAGTGTTGGTGTATCCTACTGGGTTCGATTTGGTCAAGCAGGTGAAGAGCCCAGCTCTGCCACTTGCCAGCTATGTGACCTCGGCCCAGTTATTTCTGCTCTCTAAGCCTCAGTTTCTACCTTTGTAAAATGGAAATAGAAGTGATACTAGCTTCCCAGCAGATGGTGAGAATTCAGTGGGGTCAAGCATGTAATGCACTTGTGCCTGGCGCTGAGAAAGTGCTCAATAAATGGTAGCTGCTTTTTTTTTTTTTTGGTCATCATTCCCATTTTATACGAGGAAACTGGGGCACAGAGAGGTTAAGTAACATGTCCAGTGTCACACAGCTAGTGAGTGACAGAGCTGGAATTTGAGCCCAGATCTAACAACTCTAAACCTCTGTTATACTGAACCCACAAGTGAGTGAGTGGTGGTGGGGGTCTCTGAGGGGACCCAATAACCAGCACCCTGCTTCCCCACCTCAGTTCTGAACAATTTGAGAACGAAGACGAAGAGAAGGCTGCTGAAGGCTAAATTATTGTGTTGATTGCTGAGAAAAGCTAGGCTGGGGTGTGTGGCTTCTATCTGGAGGCAAGGTACTTCCTGGCACCAAACCCCAGAAAGAATCAGAGATCTCCATCCTAGCACGGGCAACACTGGAGCAGAACAGACTTCCACACGTGGAGCTATGGTGGGGGCCGGCAGAGAGAAGGGGCCACCTCCTGGTGGAGAAAGGTTGACCTGAGCATGCCCAGTTTATTCCCTCCAGACTCACTAAGCAGATGGGTCCCTGCATCTCCTGGGGCAGACCAAGTAAAGGGGTGATCAAGGCCAGAAGTGTTATGGGTGGGCAGGGTGTCCTATGCCCATCCCCCCACCCCCAGCCCATCTTCTTCTCATCCACAGTTGCAGGGGCTCTCGTCGCTGACTTCCTGTCTGGCGTGGTGCACTGGGGTGCTGACACATGGGGCTCCGTGGAGCTGCCCATTGTGGGGAAGGTACGTATGTCAACCCTGTCCTACAGCCCAGCCCGCCTTCTCCAGAAGGAGGTTGTGCTGCATGACCTTGGATGAGTCCCTTTTCGCTCTGAGCCTCTGATTTCCTGTCTGGAAGATGGGTACTGTCATTCCAGCCTGCTCCCACCCCCATTCTTGAGAGTGGACCTGGAATCCTCCGGAAGGAAAAGCATCAGGCACTGGAAGGTCAGAGAGATTTGATAGGTGCCTGTCTCACCAGAACACCTTGAGTTTGGAAGCTATGTTCTCCAGTGCTCCGTTGTTTGGTTTAGTCGAATTTTATATCAGTCAGGTTTTTGTGTGTGTGTTTTGTTTTTTTTTTTTTTTTTTTTTGGGTGACAGAAAATTCAGTCCAGACTAGCTTAATCAAACAAGGGTATTGGTTCATATAACTAAAATTTCAGGGGTAGAGCCATATTCATGCATGACTGGATCTAGTAAGACAGACATGCTGTTCTTTAGACTCAGTCTTTGTCTATCTCTGTCTCTGCTCTCCTTTCTGTTGGCTTCACTCTCAGGCGGGCTTTCCCCTCATGAGGTGGCCAAGATGGCCCCCAGCTGCCCTAGACTTCCATCTTCCCAGCTCAGTCACCCCAGTGGAAAGAGCTTCTCCTTCCCAGGGTTGTTGTTAGTTGCTATCGAGTCAGTTCCAACTCATGGTGACCCCATGTGTGCGGAGTAGAACTGCTCCATAGGGTTATCAAGGCTGTGACCTTTCAGAAGCAGATCACCAGGCCTGTCTTCCAAAGCACCTCTGGATGGGTTTGAACTGCCAACCTTTTGGCTAGTAGTCGAGTGCTTAACAGTTTGCGCCACCCAGGGACTCCTCCTTTCCCATAGTTATAGCCAAAGTCTCAGGGCTTATTCCCATTGGCCCAGCTTGGATCACATGCCCATCCCTCAAGCAGTTGCTGGGGCCAGGGGAATGGAATATTCTGATTGGCCAGGTCTGGGTCACATGTTCACCTCCTAGCTAGGTGGTGACGTCAACCCTATCAGAACCACTTGAACTAAGAGAAGGGGGAGGGCTGTTACCAGAAGGAGGGGCTTGGGTGCTGGTGAGGCAAAGACGGCCCAGCCTGTTACCATGAGGTGCCTGACTATCCTAGGGCAGGGAAGAAGCATGGAGATTGTCTCCAAGCCCCCCGCCCCCACCGCCAATAGCACAAATGAGGGGAATGAGGCCCAGAGAAGGGCATTAACCAGCCCAAGGTCTCTGCCAGGGTCATTTCAACCCATTTTTGGCTCTAGCTGCTGGACCTAGCCCCTGAAGGCTGGGTGGGATCTGGATCGGCCTCAGGGTGCTGAGAATGTTGGGGCATCCCGGGGGCAGGGAGGTGAGCCCAAGTCAAGTGTGTTCAGGATGTCATGGAGCGCGGCTGACCACCATGGGGTGACTGCTTCGGCCATATCCCGACTCCCACCGCACCCCCACCCCAGGCTTTCATTCGCCCATTCCGGGAGCACCACATCGACCCGACGGCCATTACGAGGCACGACTTCGTCGAGACCAACGGGGATAACTGCCTGGTGACACTGCTGCCGCTGCTAAACATGGCCTACAAGTTCTGCACCCAGAGCCCTGGTGAGGCGCGCCAGCTGGTGGGGACTGGGAGGGGACTGTCAGGGACAGAGAGTGCCCCTACTCTTGGGGCTCATGTGCGTTTACCCCTTCACAGGGTTTAAAAAATTCTTAGTTGTCTTCATATAAGATTGGGACATTGGACATAAAAATCTGGGTCTCTAGCTTTTCTCGAACAATCTGATCTAGTCACCCTGGGCCGCTGTTCCCATCTGGCTTCACGGGGCTGAAGCTGCGCTCTGGCTGCCCCCTTTAAATAGGATGCATGCTCTCCAATTTACTGCAGTCCCCACTGCTCCCTGCTGTCCTACACCCAGCCCACCTTGCTCGTTTACATTACCTGCCTGGCCCTGAGGGCTTTTGGTTTTGTTGCCCTGACTTAGTGGAAAGAGTAGAGCCTGTGGGCTCAGATAGTCCTGAGTTCGAACCTTGGCCTCCCCATTCTGTGGGGAATGTCCTCAAAGCAAGTCGCCTCACATCTCAGCCTCAGTTATGTCATCTGTAAGGTGGTGAGGATGAGTCTTTGCCATGTGCCAGATACTGTTCTAACAACTTGACACCTCACTGGTCTTAGAACACCCTCCTTGTGGGTAGATGCGTGAAATTCTGTGGCCCAGATTCCCTTCTCTAGAGAGTGGGCCTGGGCTCGAGCAGAGAGTTCCGGGGACCGGAAAAGCCGGACAGAAGGCCAGCCCCCTTGCATCTGGTGGGCTGGCTCTGTGGGGCCATTCCCGCTCCAGAGCTCCCCATGGAGCAGGCTTCTCCCTGCCTCATCCTCCTTCCTTCGCTCCCTTTGATGTTCCTGAAGAGAATCCCTGTCTCAAACTCTGCTTCCAGGGATCTCTGGCATATCCCCGTTTTCCTGATGACTAAATTGAGACTCAGGAAAAGCCACTGACCCAAGCTCACACAGCCACGCACAGTCAGAGCAGGGTCTGAACCCAGCTCCAGCTGAGTCCAGAACCCACGTTCATAACCGTTACTTGTGCTAAGTCCACTGTCTGCCCACTGAGGGGAAGGGGAGACGGAAGCCCAGCAGGGGGTGGGGACTGAGCTTGCCTGCAGCCATGTGGGAGGTTAGGAGGCTGCTGGCTACTGTCCTGGGACAGGAGCTGCCTGCGGTGGTATGTCAAGGGCCAGGCTGAGGGCAGGCCCCTACCCCATGTGACAAGCCCTGCAAGTGCTTTCTCCTCACCCTACAGAAGCCCTGGAGCAGCTGTACCCCTGGGAGAGCTTCGTCTTCTGCGTGATGATCTTTGGCACCTTCACCAACCAGATCCACAAGTGGTCACACACATACTTTGGGCTGCCACCTTGGGTCACCCTCCTACAGGACTGGCATGTCATCCTGCCACGGAAACACCACCGCATCCACCACATCTCGCCCCATGAGACCTACTTCTGCATCACCACAGGTGCGGCCGCCCCCGCCTGTCTCAGCTCCATCCTCGGGGCCATCCCTCACCCCCCTGGAAGGCCATCTCAGAACAGCACTTACTGAGCACCTACTATGTGCTGGGCACTATTCTAGGTGCTAAGGGCATAGCAGTACGTAAGACAGCCCCCTCCCCCAGCCTGCCTCCTCCCGGAGTTGTGCTTCCAACCACCCATCTACCCAGCACATCTTCACTTAGCACCTACTATGTGCTAGGCACTGCCCTAGGCTTAGGATACAGCAGTGAACAAAATAGGCAAAATCCCTGGCCCCCGGCAGTTTGCATTCTGGTGGGAGAGATGGACAATAAATAGAATGCATAGTCCATCTGACATGCTGTTATGGAGGGAAATAAAACAGAGGGGGAGGGTTCACCCTTCTTAATAGGTTGGTCAGAGAAGGCCTCACTGAGACCTGAAGGAGGTAAGGAAGGGGGTGTGCAGATCTCTGGAGGAAGAGCATTCCAGACAGTGGAACAGTAGGTGCAAAGACCCTGAGGCTGGAACATGTGTGTCTCATTTGGGAGCAGCAAGGAGGCCAGTGTAGCTGGAGTGGAAGGAGTGAGGGGCAGAGTAACCAGAGAGATGACAAAGTCCAGGTGTGGTAAATGCTGTGGAGGTAACAAAGCAGGGGGGAGGCAGAGGGCAGTGGGGAGCAGCTGTTTGTAGGAGGAGGTCAGGGAAGTTCTCTCCAAGGTGGCATCTGAGATCAGAAATTTGAAAGAAGTGTAGGAGAGGCCCTACAGACAATGAGACAGATCAGTCCAAGTCCAAAGGCCCCTTGGCAGGGACATGCCTGCTGTGATCCAGCAACAATAAAGGTCACATGCCGTTGGCAGTTAATGAGCTAATGCCAAAGACATGGGGTGAGGTAAGCAGGTGTCCCGGGGCACCAAAGACACGAAGAGGCAAGCAGGTATCCTGGGACACCAAGGACATGAAGTGAGGCAAGCAGATGTCCCGGGGCACCAAAGACATGAGGTGAGGCGAGCAGGTGTCCTGGGGCACCAAAGACGTGAAGAGGCAAGCAGGTGTCCTGGGGCACCAAGGACATGAAGTGAGGCGAGCAGGTGTCCTGGGGCACCAAAGACATGAAGTGAGGTGAGGCGAGCAGGTGTCTTGGGGCACCAAAGACATGACGTGAGGCGAGCAGGTATCCTGGGGCCAGTATATTAGAGGTGCTGTGAAGTCAGGTCGACTTAGGTTCAAATACCACTCCTCCATGGGTGCCTCACAAACCTCTTTGGGTGTCACTTTTCTCATTCACAAAATGGGGCTGCAGCCACCTCCTCCACATGCCACCTTTGCTGGACTACAATGGGGACAGCAAGATGGCAGATGCAAAGCACTTGGCACATAGTAGGTACTCAGCAAGCTACAGTTGCTGCTATTATATTTTAAAGGCAGAGCTGAGAGGCACAAACAATATCTTGCACATCCTAAAGTGATGCTTCTTGGAGGGAAGTTGGAGGAGTTAAAATTTAGGAAGATGGGCTGGCTACTCAGGCAGGCCTGGGTTCAGATCCGGGTTGACCACCTACTAATACAAGAAACCCCTCTCGGAGTCTCCATTTTCTCGTGTGGAAAATGAGACTAATAATTGTATCAATGTCATGGTGGGAGTAGGGGGGCTGTTATATGGATTAAATAAGTAAGATTGTTAGCAATATTTATTAAGCACATACTATTGCCAGGCAAAGGAGCCCTGGTGGCACACTGGTTAAGCACTCACTCGGCTGCTAACCAGTAGGTCTGCAGTTCGAACCCACTAGCCGCTCTGAGGGAGAGAGATGTGGCAATCTGCTTCTGTAAAGATTACTGCCTAGGATCTATGGGGCAGTTCTCCTCTATCCTATAGGGTTGCTATGAGTCCCAATCAACTCGAGAGCACCTAACAGCATTGCCTGGCACAGTTCTAGGCACTGGGGATAAGGCAGTGAAAGAACAGGGCTCCGGCCTTACAGAACTTGTATTCTAGTTACCGGTTGGAGCGGAGACCAGCACAAAATAGGGAAATAGTGAATTAATGAAGATCATCACAGGCTTTGATACAGGCTATAAAGAAATAAGAGAGGGCAACGTGACAGGTTTGGGGTGCTACTTAAGCAAGGTGGTGAGGGAAGGATTCCCTGCAGGGGTGCTATTTGAGCCAAGTGACAAGAAACACCCCTGGCATGCCTAGCCTATAGGAAGGGCCCAGTAAGAAACTGAATGTGTTTGGTGGGTCCTGATCCCCTGCCCTGTGCTGGCTCGTGCCCCTCACCCCAGCCAGGGCCAGTTCTCTCCTAACATCCCCCTGATTGCTCCCCTACTCAACCCCAGGTGGCTGTTCCCCTGCAGGCTGGCTCAACTACCCCCTGGAGAAAATCGGCTTCTGGCGACGCCTGGAGGACATCATCCAAGGCCTGACGGGCGAGAAGCCTCGGGCGGACGACATGAAATGGGCCCAGAAGATCAAATAACTCTCCGAGCCTGCCACCTGGTTGCCAACCTTCCCTAGTGCCCCCAAACCGAAGCCATCTGCCAAATTCCAGCCTCCTCGCTGCTGGCCCCTCTGATGGAGAGGATGCCTCTTGGGCTGGGCCCAGGCCCCCCAGTCTACCCCTCATGATACAGAATACTTGAGCCACTGACAATTCGTTTCCTTTTTCCATTTTCTTTCCTTTGCCCTTCCCCAGCTACCTAAGCTCTATCTGCCAAGCCTCTGACCTGCAGAAAAAGGAGCCCTGCCCTGCCACCCGTCCCTGAGTAGAGGGGATGCTCACCCACCCCTGCACACCAGCTGCCCCCCGACCAGCTGGGCAGCCCTTCCACGTGGCTAGCGTTGGGGCCATCAAGTCATCTTTTTCTGATCCCAGTGGTCTAGGGAGCCACCGGCATGCCTGAGTGTCCACAGAGCTGGCCCTGCAAACTGACCCTGGAGCCCGGGGGTGGGCAGCGAAGCTCATCAAGGGTCTCTGAGGTCAGGTGGCCAAGAGAGGCCAGAGTCCCCTGACCAAGTATAGACCCCTCCACAACCCCACCCCACCTGCCCACATGGTTCCAGCCAGAGCTGATATTTCCAATCTGAGGATGTCTTCACAGGGCACAGCCCCTGCCAAGGGTCTTGGTCATTTGGAACGGGACACAGTGTCCCCTCTGGTCAGGGGTATGTCAGAGAAGGAAGAGTGGGGCTTTTTTGTTTTGGTTTATTTTTTTTTTTTATTTTTTTTTTTTAAAGGTGCTTGCTTGTTTAATGTAAATAATAGAAAGCCTTAATATCTTTTCTGTAACACGGAGTAATATTTTATTGTCATGTTTTGGATGTACATAATATATTTATAACAAAGCAGCAAGAGTCTACTTACCCTTGGCTGCCTTGTGGTGTTTCCTGGTTGGCTCTGGGGGAGGTGAGCAGTAAAGGGGCCCAGTGGTGAGGCACCACCCTACCCCGGGACCCGTCTACCCCGGGCTCGGAATGGAGCTTTGGCCACCAGAGACTGGATTAATGTTATCTGCTCCCAACACTCTGGAAGGCTCCCCAGTTTGGAGAGGAATGGTCTTCAGCAGGAGAGCATGAGGAGGAGGAGAATGAAGGCTGGTCCCTATATTGGGGAATTCCTTCAGCTGATGTTTATTGGGACCTGGTGTGTGCCAGGTCCTGGCCTGGCCACTGGGGTGCATCTGTGTACAAACTGACAAGGACCTGCTCTGGTGGAGTTGACCTGGGGAGAGAGAAACAATAAACATAAATAAGTGCGCCTGGAAATTCAGATGCTGATTTGTAAGGAGAATCAAGCATGATGGGATCCATCAGAAAAGCAGGGAGGGGCTGCCTTAGCAGGGTGGTCAGGGAGGGAGGGTCTCTGAGGAGGGGACCCTGGAGCTGAGGTCCAGAAGAGGAGGTGGAGTGAGATGGGGGAAGAACTGAGGGGAGAGTCCTGACGAACAGCCTTTCACTTGCTGAAAGGCCCTGAGGCAGGAAGCCTGGAGTTTTTGACTGCAAGGCGGCCATTGTGACTGGAGTAGAATGAGTGAGGGGAAAGTGTGAGGAGATGAGGTTGGAAAAATAGGGCCTGGATTGGGTCATGTGCCTACCTGTGAGCCAGTCACCTTGCTGGGGGTGTGGCAGTTGGAGGGGTAGGATCAGGCCTTCCTAAGCCACAGGGCTAAGAGGAGAGAGGGATGATTCCCAAAAGAAAAATTAAGGTGTTTTTACCAAAAGAAGTCAGTGGCAGGATAGGCTGCCAAACTTGGGAGGCACAGGATGGGCAGCTTTGGGGCTGCAGGGGTTGGATTCCTGCTCCCAGACCCTGGGGGAGTCTCACGTCAGTTCCCATGGAGCTGGCAAAGACCCCCCAGACCAAATCCGGAGAGTTTAGTAATTTGCCCAACGTTCTACAGATAGTAATGGCAGAACCAGGCCTCAGACCCAGACTGTCGCTGCTCCGAGTCCCATGGGCTGGAAAATACTTTCCAAAGCTGGTAAGAGGTATGTTTTGCATCAGGTCTGGGAGCATTGGGTCACTTGTAGGTTTGGGGGGTTGCAAACACGAGGCTATGAGGCCAGGCAGGGGGAAATATCTACTAATATCTAATACTAATATCTAATACTAATATCTACTAATACTAATATCTACTGAACACTACGTGTGCAAAGAGCTCTGTGTGCTGGGCATCAGCTAGCAGGCCCTGCAGCTCTGACCGGTGGGTACTGTTAGGCCCCATTGCAGGAGGAAACTGAAGCACTGAGAGGTCGTATAACACACCCAAGGTCACACAGTTGGTAGGTGGCGAAGCCCTTTCACTTTCATACCTGCCCCACTGTCCCCATCTCCATGGAGGAAGGAGGTGAGGCAGGTGGCAAGTGAGAAGTGTGTCTGCTCAGAAAATACCACACGCGGGAGCAGCAGACCACAATGACCTGGAGACATCAGGCCCCAAAGGGCAGCTGCTACTTGCATCCAGCAATTAAAAGAGGAGCCAGGAGTCCAGATTTTTTAAATACTGGCTTATTTTTTAAACATATCATGGGCAGAATAAAACAGTTGTTATGGCTGGACTTCTGCCCTACACTTCCAGCTGGTCCAGGCCTGGGTTTAGGGGCGTTTGTGCTGCTCTCTGCTGCTCTCTGGTGGCTGAGCGGGGTAGGTGGCAGCGCAGAGCGCACAGATGGGTTTCCGGATGTCGTGTCCCGGACTGGACCGGCTTCTCCTCAGGGTATCAGCCAGAGTCCTCCAGAGAAACACAACCAATAGGATGTATGTGTGTGTGGGTGTATGTATACACACAGACACACACACACATACATATATATAATTTATTTTAAGGAATCGACTCACAAGATTGTAGGAACTGGAAAGCCTGAAATCTGTAGGGCAGGCCAGCAGGCTGGAAACGCAGGAAGTGATGGCATCCTAAATAAGGAGTCTTGAGGCAGAATTACTACTTCACAAACCAACCCCTGCAGCCTCAAGGCCACCCATCTGGCCCCTCCGAAGAGTTTGGCTGTCAGTCTGACCATTGCCATGGACTTCTTTGGGTAATAACAGCTTCGTTTTTCTTTTGGGAGCCATCCCTCCCTCCTCAGACTTTGCTCTTAAGGTCAAAGTTCAACCGTTTCAGGAGGTAGCATGTGATCAAGAATCAATGATGGAGGAAGAAGTCCAAGCTGCACTGAAGGCACTGGTGAAAAACAAGGCTCCAAGAATTGATGGGATACCAACCGAGATGTTGCAGCAAATGGATGCAGCACTGGAGGTGCTCATTTGCTTTTGCCAAGAAATTTGGAAGACAGCTACCTCGCCAACCAACTGGAACAGATCCATATTTGTGCCCATTCCAAGGAAAGGTGATCCAACAGAATGCAGAAATTATTGAACAGTATCAATATTGCCGCAAGTAAAATTTTGCTAAAGATAATTCAAAAACGGTTGCAGCAGTACGTCAGCAGGGCACTGCCAGAAATCAAAGCCTGATTCAGAAAAGGATGTGGAACAAAAGACAGCATTGCTGATGTCAGGTGGATCTTAGCTGAAAGCAGAGAATACCAGAAAGATGTTTACCTGTGTTTTATTGGCTATGCAAAGGCATTCAACTGTGTGGATCATAACAAATTATGGATAACAGTGCGAAGGATAGGAATTCCACAATATTTAATTGTGTTCATGAGGAACCTGTACATAGACCAGGAGGCAGTCATTCGAACAAAACAAGAGGATACTGTGTGGTTTAAAATCAGGAAAGGTGTACATCATGGTTGTATTCTTTCACTGTACTTATTCACACTGTATGCTGAGCAAATAATCCAAGAAGCTGGACTATGTGAAGAAGAATGCAGCAAAAGATTGGAGGAAGACTCATTAACAACCTGCAATATGCAGATGACACAGCCTTGCTTGTTGAAAGTGAAGAGAACTTGAAGCACTTACTGATGAAGATCAAAGACCACAGCCTTCAGTATGGATTACACCTCAACATAAAACAAAAATCCTCACAACTGAACTAAAAAGCAAGATCATGATAAATGGAGAAAATATTGAAGTTGTCAAAGATTTCATTTTACTTGGATCCACAGTCAATGCCCAGGGAAGCAGTAGTCAGATCAAATGAGGTATTGCACTGGGCCAATCTGCTGCAAAACACTTCTTTAAAGTGTTAAAAAGCAAGGATGTCACTTTGAGGGCTAAGGTGTGCCTGACCCAAGCCATGGTATTTTCAGTCACCTCATATGCATGCCAAAAGAATGAAAAAAATCTGTCTTGGAAGAAGTACAGCCAGAATCCTCCTTAGAAGCAAGGATGGCTAGACTTCATCTCACATATTTGGACATGTTATCAAGAGGGACCTGCAGCTCTGGTGGCGCAGTGGTTAAGAGCTTGGCTGCTAAGCAAAAGGTCAGCAGTTCAAATCTACTAGCTGTTCCTTGGAAACCCCGTGGGGTAGTTCTACTCTCCTGTAGGGTCACTATGAGTTGGAACTGACTCAACAGCAATAGGTTTGGTTTTTTGCTATCAAGAGGGACCAATCCCTGGAGAAGGACATCGTGCTTGGTAAAGGAGAGGGTCATCAAAAAAGAGGAAGACCCTCAACGGGATGGATTGACACAGTGGTTGCAACAATGGGCTCAAACATAGCAACAATTGTGAGGATGGCGCGGGACCAGGCAGTGTTTCCTTCTGTTGTACGTAGGGTCACTATGAGTTGGAATCAACTGGACAGCATCCAACAACAACAACAACATACCTGTGGTTATAATCCCATTCGGGAATGGGTTTTCTTTGTTATGTTAATGAGACAGTATTAGTGTAGGGTGTGTCTTGAGTCAATCTCTTTTGACATAGGCCATGCCACATGTAGATCACCAAGGAGCCAAGGAACGCAGGACCTGAAGATGCTGAAAAGAGACAAGGACCTTCCTCCAGAGCTGACAGAGTGAGAACACCTTCCCCTAGAGCCAGAGCCCTGAATTTGGACTTCTAGCCTCCTAAACTGTGAGAAAATAAATTTCTGTTTGTTAAAGCCATCTACTTGTGGTATTTCTGTTACAGCAGCATTAGAGAACTAAGACATGCATCTTGCCTTTTCTCACTTATATTTTGGAGATAGCTTTTTATCAATGCTCAGAAGGCTTCCTTATTCTTTTTGACAGCTGCATAACCACCTCAGGATGGAATATCATTTTTTAACCTGTCCCTTG